AAAAAAAAAAAAAAAAAAAAAAAAAATGAACCCATAATACAGGCAAAATGTTTAAGTTTGAACAAAAATAGCTCAACAAACATATATCTTTACACCATATTAACAAAAGGATGCCTTAAACCATTACTACAAAACAATCTCATATTAACTCAAAATCGAACATCATCGAAACAAATTGGTCCCTACACAGGACAGGAGGACTCCCATCTAACTAACAATCCCTTATAACATTTACCTAAAACCTCCATAATCTACACAAAACAAAACACTGTAAAAGGAAACAAAAAAACTTGAAATGGAAATAAAATCACACCTTAATTTATATAGAGAAAAAAAATCTCCAAAAATATACACAAACATTCATTCATTCCCAAATTCAATTTTCTCACCAAAACTCCAGAGAGCTAAAGCTACTGCTGCAATTCTCGAGAATCATCGTCCTTAGATGATATCTGTTGGTTTTGGTTTATATTTCGATTCTGATTTTGATTTTGTTCATGAACAATCTGCTGCTGCTGCTGCTGATGATGATAAATCTGGTTCAACTGATTCAAATCCTGCGACAATCCAAGCTCGAGACCCGGAATTTGTTGACTAGTGCTGGCGCCTAATATCGAGGCCAAGCTCAACGGTCCCGGCAGGTCGAACCCCGCGAACCCCATCCTCTGCAGATAGCTCTGCCCCTCAGCAGCCGCCAATTGCTGAAACCCGAAACCGTGACCCGGCCACGACCCGCTGCCCGGATCTCCTGGCCGGATCCCGTGAAGGCCGGAGGGGATCGAGGAGTCGGAGACTGGCGCGGCGGCGGATACGGCGAGTGCGGAGGCAGGGATGGTGCCGGAGCCGGTGGCGGCGATGATTGAGGGCTCGGCCTGGTTGAGGAGCCACTGGATGGTCTCGCCGTCGGACTTGTGGCCGAGCTCGCGAGTGAGCTGGAAAATACGGGCGGCGCAGAGGGCTGGCATCCGGATCCTCCGCCCACGGCCGTCGACCTTCGTGTGGCGGTCTTTGTTGGAGGTGCGTTTGGGGGCAAGCTGCTGCTTTCTAGAACCTTCTTTCTCCGAGGCTGCCGGAATCTGGATGTCTTTGTTTTTGGCCGGGTTGTTGGGTTCCGGCAGGGCGTGGATGATGATTGAATTATTCGGATCCATTTATTTTAATAATTTTTTTTTTTTTTTCGGTGGTGATGGTTTAGTGTGAAATATGAAGCATGGTGTGTTTTAATGGAGGTTTTTGTGGTACATAGTGTTGATTTTAGTGTGTGTCTGTGTGTTTAGAGATTGATTGTTCTGTTTCTTTTTGGTTTTTAGACTGAGTTTAGTTTAGGCAAAGGGAAAGGGATGATGAGAAAGAAATAAAAGAAGAGAGAAAAAAAAGGGGGAAAAAGAAAAAGTAAAGCTTGAAATCCCAAGGCAGAAAATGGGATCTTTGTCTTAAAAGAAAAAAAAATATAAATAAAAACTGGATGGATCAGTTTTAAATGTTTTGCTCTGTTTATTAATTTCACTGTTGAGGGATTTGACTTTTTTGACTTGCACTTTTTGACTGAGACACACAATATTTTACGGTACAGCAAAAGCATTGGTATTTTGGCATCAGTAAATAAAAAGAGAGGGTGGAAAATAGAAAACAAAAAATCAAATACAATACAAAAGGAGAAATTTCCAATTAATAAATTAAAATAGTTGATTCAAAGCACTTAATAAAACACAAGAAAAACAAAATTAGGAAACACAAAGTAAATAGTAGTTACGTATATGTTTTTCATAAATAATGCTATTTTTTTTTTTATTTTATCAGATTCAGAATCACTGTGAGTGAGGGACATATATTAAATTTATATTTATAGAGGTCCTTTCTTGGAAATTGTAGAATAAGATAAAGTCCAATATAGCACCTCGATTTGACTTCATATACGCGCAATTCACGTCTAATTCGACACAATAAACTTTGAAAGTGGCCCCCGAAATTTTCATTATTTCAAATTCTAAATCCTGTTCACCAAATTGCAATTGGACGCGTGTAACTAAATGCATTAACATGTTTGATACATAATTTAAGTATTTGATAAACAATAGTATATGTGAGCTGCTATGGTAATCTTATCTTATCGAATAAAAAACACAAACATCCTTGTTTATTTTCCATTTGTCAAGAGCACCTAAAATTGTACTATTTGGGTACTGTCTACACTTTGAAATTGGCTCAAATCCAGGCAAGAATATATAATATCTTGTGAACTTTTAATCACATATGTATCTTATTCATTGCTAAATATATCAATTTTTCAAACTTTTAAAATTGCGTTTCTCATTAATTAATCAAACTCTATTATAATTATTTTAAGTGTAATTTAATTAATTTACAATTATTTGACTTTACCAAGTTTTAAATTCCATAACCTCGTAAAGGCAATCCTTTTTTTTTTTTTTTTTCTTTCAGTAAGTAATGCACATTAATCTAGCATGGCTGCCATTATTGCAAGTTTGCAACCAACAGCAATGAGTAACTTATGGTGATGCAAAATCTTGCAACAGACGTCACTCGACAAAATCTAATGTTAGTAGAGAGGGAGTAATGCTCCCCTACCCACGGTGGGCACATGTTAATATATTCACCGTTTATGTGGCAAACACACAGGGGTTATACTACAAGAGGCTACATATAAAACACCTGGCAATAAAATAAAATAATTGCGATGTGGGGTTACTTATTAGTCACTCTACAGTCTAGACTAGACCCTTCCTTAAAATATATCAGACGTCTGAACTCGAGCAAAATTTCAATTACAATTCAACAAAAGAAACTTTTGAAAATTTGTTGATTCAGAAGCAAGAAGAGGGCCAGTTAAGTGGGCCACGTTCATCACTCTCTAAATGATATTATGGGCCCATCGTAGAGGCCCACCTTCCACATAAGTTGGAGTGGGTTTCACTTATAAAGAATATTTAAAAATTTGCCGGAAGTATATATTCTTCATGTAAAATTTCAACTCAATTAAAACCTCCATTATTATTATTCCAAAATATAATAATTCGTGTTTGTAGATTTCTCTTTTGTGGTATAGTGTATTTTGAAAAAAATTAGTTTAGCTGAACAAGTCACGCCCATGATTAAGATAGCCATGATTAAAAGTCACGCCCAAAATTAGTATTAGTTTTCGACCCATTTCCATTTTTTTTTATCATTTTTTCCAATGATAATTCATCTCCAAGGCATGTGCTTGATTATGCACTACATAGTGTGTTCGGAGCTCTTTAATGACACTACTAATTTAACCACAATTACAAAAAATTGTGCCTAGACCGATCAAAATGCTAAATAGATCAATTGACTTACATTAAAGTCAATAGTAATTTCATCTAGTAATTGAAATCGATTAGATGACAGTCTGGTTTTTGTTTTCTCAGTTATGCTCGAGGACTTGCGTCAGCATTTTTGCCTCATCCTTAATGCTTACATTATCAGACTATTTTAGTTACTTCTATAAATAATAGCTAAATACAATTACTTTCTTTTTTTTTAAAAAAAAAAAAGTCGACCATATCAACTACAATTGTTTTTTATTTCTATTTTTTTTTCTTCTTCTTGTTACACTTTATAACCAATTCCAATGATTGATTGTCCCCACCATCAATATCTTTTAGATTATTTATTCTAAAAAAGATATGATGACAGATCCGTGATTGCTGGTGTGATCATTTTGAATTTCATCTTCTCGCTGAATAAAAAAAAAGGAGGGGTTACATTACATTATGGCTTATTGAATAGCGTAAAATATAATTGCTTGTAGTTGTTGTAGCTTGAAGGAGATGCTTCATCCCGCATAATTTTATTCATTTTTGCCTCATTTTATTCTTTCGTTTATGTATAAATATATATATAAATAAGACTTTTAAAATTAGGATTTTCTTTTAATGGGTTGGTGTAATATTATAAATTCCCTATGATATAAAAAAAATTCCCATGAACATGTGAAATTGTTCGTGTCCCGATTAAAATACAACTCCTCACCTCTTGGCTTGCCAACACACAAAACAAAAGAAAGAAAATGTAAGAAGAAGAGAGACGATAGATTTGTTCTCCTATGGATCTTAAATAAATAAAACAATCAAACGGAAAAGTCAAATATACCACGTGACGCATTCCTCAATGCACCATCAAAGAAATAAACAAAGGAGAAGATAAGAATAATTAAAAGCTGTTGATTTGAGAAAAGATTTACCTTTCCATCAAATCAATCACCAAAGATAAAAACTACCTGATTGTTTGCTACTACATATATTCCATTTTAGTTTCCTAAAAGTAAAATTGAAAAGGGGTTAAATGAACAGTGACCCTATTCTTTTTTGGTACAGTGACCTTCCGGTTTCTGGATCCACAAGGGAATCGACTAATCCGGAATCGAGCCGGGTAGGACCACAAGGGCGGCAAAGCTCTCCCTCAAGAGTTTTAACACTGCTGCATTCCCAGGGCTCGAACTCGAGACCACTGGTTAAGTTGGAAGAGACCCAAACTATCTCATCCAAGCGCTCTTGGGTAACAAAGACCCTATTCAAGACATATGATCACGAAGCTAAATGGAGAAGGACTTCATAAAACAACATGGGTAGTGTCCACACTGGTTGATCAACTTCGAATCACACAGAGTCAAACCACAGACTGTGTGTTGATCTGACGGTGGTACCCTCACAAAGTTGATCAACTTCGAATCACACAATCACACACACTGAGATTAACGGTGTTCGAGAGTTGATCAACTCCGAATCACAATGTGTTTTGGTCTGACAAACCCACACAGGGTTGATCAACTTCAAATCACACATAATGTGTGTTGATCGGACAGTGATCAACTGACACTACCACACGGTAGGACTGAAATTTCCAATCTCATGCCCATAAAAATTACTCAGCTCGTACACATAAAAAAAGAAAATCATTGAAAACAGGATTGTCCGAATGACACAGAGTAAATTTACATCCCACCTTCGACAGTTTCACCATTCTACCCATCAGCAAGCACCCATGACGGAATAAGTCCACATAAACTGTTAAAAGGGACAAATCAATATATTTACAAAACCAACTGTTTCCTCCTAAAGACCCCGGTATATGGAAAACAATACAAAAGAAAGTGGAACTTACTTGCTCAGCTACTAGCAGACGGGCCAAAGTACATGCAGATAGGTGGGTTCACCCTCAGGATCGAAAGTATTGCTGACGGTATCGTCCAAATCCCGTCCCCACAAATCAAGCCCGATGCCACTGCACCCGAATAGTCCTCAGAGTCCTTCCTATTCACCCTCTCCCAAACAAACAGTATCACAGTCCCCACAAACATGTCAATCGCGAAATAAGCCCCGATGTAAAACGGCACGGCCATCGCCATCGGTATAGGAATAAACCTCGAGGCCCGTTTAGGGATAACATCCCTCAAAAGATTAACACCCAAAGCCCCCAAAAAGAACCCACAGCACAGTGCCAGACAGTGCTTGGGCAGCTCGGAGAACCCCTCGACCCCAAGAATCGCCATTTCCCGGTATATAACGGCGTACGGTGCCTTGTACGGGCTGTCGGGGGACCCTACGTCGAACGCAGTCCAATAGAGCCAGAAAGTGAGCGGGGCAATAATGCAGCCCATGGCAGTACCCACCAGCTGGCTAACAAACATGGATTTCGGGGAGGATAAAGTGAGGTAGCCGGTTTTGAAGTCCTGCATGAGGTCGGCCGCGGTGGAGACAATGGACATCATGACACCACAGGAGGCAAGGCCAGCGAGGACACCACCCTGGGACCCAACGATGGTGGCAATTATGAAGAGGCCGATCTTGCCGTAGGTGGAGGCAAGGCTCCAGTCGGTGAGGCCGGTGCCATAAGAGTTGCAGAAGGCAAGGGCAGGGGCCAGGAGGTAGCAGCAGAGGACCAAGTACCATGTGAGGGGTGGGAAGAACTTCGGGAGAAGGGCGATTGATATGGCGGCAAGGGCTACGTACCCGGTGCCCGCAAACCGGAACGGAATGTTGTCCTTGAGGAAGACTTGGTCGCGTTTCCTTTGTTCTATAAGAGATTTGGAGGTGGGGTAATCTGTTGGGGAATTTTCCAGAGAGAGAGAGACAGACCAATGGATGAGAAAAATTATGCGCAACCAAAAAGCAGAGCAAATAGAGAACATGACTCTAATGAGTCAAAATTAATATCCAAAAGAATTTGGACGAATGACTACACCTGTAACTTCGGTGACGATTGGAAGACTATGTTTGGTGCATATTTCCTTTATAGTCACTGATATGATCTTAATCAAATTATAAAGTCCATCCCCCAGGATGAGAGCAATGGCTATGAAAACCTGTATAGAACACGAAAATTATGGAAATGAAACTAAGCCATAAAAGCTGCAAGGGGAAATAAAGAAAAATAAAGAAAAAACAGAAGTTGCTTCACCAGTCATCAGAAAATTGAATCTGACATTAGACAATAACTACTAATAGCTCTTAGGTACTCAAACTTACAGTATCTGACTGACAACAATTAATACAGTTGTCATATAATGTTGAAACCATAATCAATTAAGGGTAAAAGGATACTGAACTTTGCAATTCATCTAAATTTTATTTGGTACCTTGTATCCATAGAGACCTTTGAAATCATTACTGCCGAGATCAGCCGGATACCAGTCACCTGCCCGCTGTGAAATGAAAGGCCAAAGAAAACCCCATGAAATGATGGCTCCAAGAAGAACTGAACAGTTGACTATGTGTGGACAAATTAGCCCACATCCAACATAAGTTGGACTGAAGTCAAAATAGAACCTGAAAGAAATCTCAATGATCAGGATTCTTGACATTAAGAAACACCGGAAATCTGAAATAATTCAAGAAAAGTATCTAAAGCAAAGTTAACATAGCATACGTATTCTTGAATAGAGTTAATCCAAGGCTGGGGAAATTGTCGAATCCACATGAATCACCAACACCGCTGAAGAACCACTTAAAGCAGCTCCAGCAGAAACTTATGCTTAAATATTTTCCAAGACAAGACACCTGTTTCCTGAAGAGATTGAAAAAATGGTAAAGGGCATTAGACTTTTGTGATTGACATAACAATTAAGTTACAAAAGCAGGAACCTAGAAACAAATCTGCTGCTCACTTAGCAAGTTCAGCTCCAGTGTTTGTATGGAAACTATTGATCAACATAGCTGTGGCAGTCCCACTTGGATAGGTCAGCTTATAATCCAGGACCATAACCTAAAAAAAGAAAAAGGAAAACTAAACTTATATCCTAGTACACTCCAATCAACGTAAATTTTCCTAATTGTTTCTAGTTCCTAAACAAACATCTCACTATTCAAAGTGAATGCAAGGTGGTCAAGCCATGAGTAACAATTAACAAAGTTATGTGTACTTCTCAAGCCAAGTTAACATTTTATCTTGCAAACCCACTAAAAGTAAATTATCTTCGTAGAATATGTACTACCCCTTAAAACATGACTAAAGAATATAATGCACGCATTGACCTAACAACCCAAGCAAAATCTAAATATTCCAGTAATATGATATAAACCTTAAATTGTAGATTAAATTTAGCTTTCATAATGAAAAAAAAATAAAAAATACACAAACAACAAACAACAACTAATTTGAGGGTTAGTTGGTCATTGCATAATATATAACTAGACAGAGGTAAGTTATTTGGTTCTTCTCATAGCAATTAGATCGGTCAACCTCACAATCGGTAAAAGACGCCAGCTAATTTGAGAATAAAAGCATGTAGACTACACATGCAGCATGACAAATCCTCTTACGATTCGTCTTAACCTGAATTCCGGTTAATATTCATTCCATAAATCCTCAAATATTTGGAACTTAAGTTATATTTTACATTTTTGTGTAGTAACTATTGAATTCGATCTATTTGTATAAGTAGATTGACCCAGTGAAGGATCGTCAGAGTAGATGCAAGCAATAACAAGCATCATAACATTCCAATTATGATGCTTCCAACCATTACAGAATAAGTTCAACTTTCGTAAACGACTTACCTTACGAAGAGGAACTAGACTAAACAATCCCAGGAAACTAACAACAAAAATAAATCCCATCATCCACAACAGTCCAGGGTTCTTCACATCCTCTGCACGATTACCCGGATAATCTTCACCAATCAGTTTATACGTTTTCTCGTCCATAGCTAGCAAGTATGACCCGGCTCCCCCTGTAAACATAAACACCCAACCATTCCTCAGAATTAAATTTTACCCTCCCATCCAGACGCATAACATGAAGTCATGAACTGAAAACTTCCAGTAGCAAAATCCCCTTCATTATCACTACTCTATCAAAACTATAACAAAGAAAATAGAAATGTCAAATGCAGCTAGAGAACAATAATTAAGTAAATAAAATTACCGCTGAAGGCGAGACCGTAACAAGCCACAACGCACGTCTGGATGACGGTATTCTCTTGCCGGGTGAAAGGTTGAACCAGGAATCCCAATTTTGACAGAAAACCGGTCCATGACTTCACGAAGAAGAACCCTAGCAGACCTGCGGCGACGTTGAGAGACGGTATGATCCCGACCGTCAGATTTAGTTTGTGAGTGATGATACAGAAAAGCGTCCCTAATATGGCGCTGACCACAAGCCCTCTGATCGTGATCTGATCTTTCCATTCAGGAATCTGCTCGATTTCATCGTCGACGGCGGGGATTTTCGCCGGCGCAGCTTCATCCTGGCGCAGCAGAGGCTCCGAGATCTCCGCGGTTTGCTCCGTTCCCATTGAAGATCAAAATTCTAAAATTGTTGAGTTCTCCTGATACCGTGAGCTGGAGAGCTAGGATTTTTTTCCCTTTAATTTGGGACTCTTTTAGTTGGCGATCTTTTATTTTATTATACTACATATTGGTGGGTGGGAGATTGGGGGCAGCTATCTTCTGTTCCTCGCGATCCAATTCTCTACAATTTTACAAAAATCGTGCTAGCATTTTGTACTATCTAACCAAACCCCACTAAAATAATACCACAAATTTGTTAACATAAAATATAGTTTAAGATTGTGATTCCATTATATCATAACACACATATGATGTCGATGTGACTTCAACTACCCTTGTGGGCAACTAACCCCAATGCAAGCACACAAAATGTCAAAAATCTACCATTTCAGAAGCTCTTATCTATTTAAATCTCACAGTTTTGATGCCAAACGTGCATAGGTCATGGATGCTAATGTTGGAAAAATCAGTTGTAAAACTTGGGTTTGACCCAATTTTGACTGAATTTTTGATGGCTAAATATTTAATTTTAGTTGAATTAAATATTGTAGAAAAATTCTACGTTCCGAGTAGATACTCGTGGTATATTTATTTTCTCAAAACTGATTTTCGGTGAGTGAGAAATAAATTGTTAAAGTTAGCCATAAAAGGGCACGTAAAACGTTGGTTGTGGGATTTGAAGGGTCAAGAGTTAATCCCACATTGGACTCTTAAATGAGTTTAACTCTCTTTATTATAATAAAGAGAGTTGGAGAGGTTACAACAAGCACAAAGCTATGCACCAAGTGTTGGTGTTGTTTTCGGCCACACGCGCGCGCGCGCGCGCCCGGCCGGCCAGCTCGGGCTCGTGCTCGGGCACGGGCCTGGGACTTGGGACTTGGGACTTGGTCCTTGGTTCTTGGTTCTTGGTTCTCGGCAATTGGACTTTGGGCTGGACTTGGGCGGCCTTGGGCGCTTGGGCCTTGGGCCCAATCACTATATATCTTTTTGCTGCAAATTTATTTACAATTTTAAGCCCAACTGGAAAATCCATTTTGGACTTGGACTCGGGTTTTGACCCAACCCGAGTGAGACCTCTCCATGTACAATGAATCTGGACACATGACCTTTCATGTGAAATGTAACACCTGATGGCTGGTTAATGGTGTAGTAACACCTGATGTTAATAGCTGGTTAAGGGTGTAGTAACACCTGGTTAATGGTGTAGTAATACCTGAAACGTTTTCAGGTTAATGGTGCCATTTATCTCATCCTTAAGTGGCTGATGTAACCTTAAGTTCTCCCTTAGAGGTGGAAGTCCTATAAATAGGACTTAGAGCTGCAAGTGAAAAACACACAACATTTCATGCACTCTGATTATTCTCAAAGCCTCACACATCATACTGCTCTGTTCTCGACTTCATTCCAGTTCGTCGGAGCTCAAATTCTGGTGTGCTACAGCATTCGAGACGTAAGCCATTGTATCTTTGGGGACGAGACGCTTTTACCCGCCAGCACTACACGGGGCGTTTTCGTCTTGCGGAAAGAGCAATCGCCTCGGCATTTTTTCCGCTTCTCTTTTGTAATTTTGATTTTGTTTTAGTTCATTTTGTAAGAACTGAAATCATCATATTCAGTTCATAGGTTCCCGTTGTAATTAACACACATTGTGTAACAGTACGCAACTCTTGAGATGTATGAGTAACGCAATCTTAAAATTATTTTTATAGATTAATGTGTGTAAATAATAATAAAAGTATTATTATAGATTAAATATGTGGTTACACAAACACAATACTAAAAGTGTTTCATGGATTAAATATATGGCTCATTACTCAAACTAGTACGAATCTCATGCGATGCACGGGGTAAGAGATTCTTATTAATATTTTTAAATTTAAAATACTTATTAAATGATATTTATAAATTTAAAATATAGAATCAATATGTAATAAACTTTTCATATATTAATTTATTAAAAATATTATATGAAATTTAAATTGTGCAAAATTATATAAAATATGCCGATTTAAAATTAGTACACAACTCATACGATATTTATTTCAAAATAAGTGTTATTTTAAAACTTGCATTCAGAAACTTTATTTGACTCAATGTGATTCCATAAAATAACTATTTTGGTAAAATTTTATCATATATTTAAATATCTATGTGAATAATATGTACATTATAAAATTTAATATATTTCCATTAATTAAAATGAACTTATCTTTGTATAAACATATCAAATAAAAAAATTCGCACTATATTGCAAATTTTCAAATATATAAAATCACAATTGGACAATTATTTATTTATTTTGATTTGTAACAATCGCAATATTTGACAAAACTGTTTATGTACATGGATTACATTGATTTTCTTAATTTTAATTACAAATGATTTGTCGCCATTTTTCAAAAACTTTTTAAAAAGTTAACAATAAAATTAACATTATCAATTAATTAATAGTTTTACAAAATTTTTTAGTAGTATAAGAAAACAAACTTATTAGATAAAGTCCTAATTTACATTAGTATAAATCGGTGCATGTCAAAAGGATAAGTATGGTTTTATTTTAATTTTATATTTTAATAATATTTTATATATATTTATAAAACTATTGGCTATCATCCCCAATTTATATAAAGTCAGCCCAACACGTTTTAAATATTGTAATTATTCATCGAACGGCCTACATTACGTCAACTAAAACGAACATCTCTAATTGATTTAAAATGAGTATAAAATGCAAAAAATCGAATTGAGATGGTGAGTAGGGTTTCCAAATTCTCACACCATCTAGCGAAAATGAT